TATATATATATATATATATATATATATGTGTGTGTGTGTGTGTGTGTGTGTGTGTGTGTGTGTGGGTGTGTGCATAAATTACTTATATAGGTATATTAATGTCAAATGTCTTCTAACTTGACGAGTGTCATTTACTGTCCCTTGGGGACATGAGATTTGTTCACGAGCAAAATGCTAGAAAGGGCGAGCCCAGACAAGCAATACATAGACGTTTGGTCGATGGTTGGCCAGTAAGTGAAACAATCTCTTGCCGACAGTCATCGGTGACAGAACGCCATATTTGCGAAAGTTTGGAACGCCAATCTGAGATGACGGGACTCGCCCGGCCTCAGCGAGAAGGTCAATATTTACCACTTTCTGACTTTCCCGACATATTCTCTCTGACGGCAGCATTTGTCAAAACTTCTGGCTAATGCAGTTCACTCTAAGTGAAACAGAAGGGACAAATGCAAGAACACATTACAAATACAGATACACACTTACACACAGACAAATACACACCCCAACACATATACACATACCTATACAGAGGCGTATATATGCGAATAGATGCGCATAACGTTACGCTGGCTTAGTTGCGGAAGAAATGACATGATGCGTTAACGTAAGACATAGGCATATACCGACATTTAAATTGTATAGATAGACAGAAAATGTCCGTTTAAATATGGTTTATGAGATATAATTAATCAGTTTATTTTCTTTTTTGTAATACCACATGCGTGCTTTTTTTTTTTTTTTAAATGGTATTTTATGAACTATTGACTTTTCATTATCACGTGTGGCTTACGTCCAAATCACGTTGAAACCCCGGTTACCGTAGGAAGACCGAAGTTAAGCCACCTAGATACGTGAGTGATTGGGAATACCAGGTGCTGTAAGCTACCATTTGTGGGTGGATTAATGGATAATTTTCACTGATCATTAAAGAAATTAAATCAACCAAAGTTCACACACTTTTTACATTGATAAAAATCCTTCGTAAAAAAAGCAAGAGCTGTTCTTATGAGAACGGAGTTTTGTATTTCTTTAAGGTATGGGCTACCAGGGAACCATTCAATCGGTCTATCAGAGCCTTTTTGCAATCCATTCGAGGGCTTTAAATACAAGTGAAATTAATGATGTCTTCAGGCGCCAATTTTTGAGAGTTCCACTTCAAGATTCTTTATTATTATTATTCTTGTTGTTGTTGCTGATTGAACTACAAATACCACAACTTTTGCTGGAGTTTAAATTAATATTATAAGTTCGCAACAAGTATATTGAAGTGGAAAAGTTTCATTAGGATTCGACAGGTCTTTGGTCATCCCAAAGAGTGTAGCCTTCGGAAAGGGTCCCACCCTGACAATGACCACTGTCTTCTTCAATCACTTCGGGAGTTCAGTGCTTAGGTTTTTTTCAGAGCACCAATAACGATGGCGATGACTTCTCGTTTCTTCATTGACCACACAATTGTACACTTTCCAATCATTAAAATTAATCTGTTCCTTTCTGTCAATGTTTCTCTTATCGCCGTAGCATGCAATACATATGATGATGTATAATATTTTTCTTTATCTACCATCATTAGTTTACACCGTCTTGTTTTCTGTGCAATACGTCCCGGTCACATTGGATCAGGAAATCCCCACAAAACTCTGTATTTGCCATTTTTAGTGAAACCTTCTAGAGTTTGTACATACAACGTTTCTGTCCTCCCAAATAGATTTTTGATCATTTGAGCCCTTGAAAATCAGTAAAGCCGCTAAGACCCAGAGTTACTCATCATGATAGATTATGGGGAAAAGAAAATATTATTAAGGAGAAAGGACAATAAAAAAACAGATTATCCGAAAACAGAAGATGACACTACATTTAAACTTATGAAAATCAAAGTTAACTGAAAAATAAGAAGCCGGAAGAGAGTTCCACTAGTGACGAGTGTGAGAGAAGAAAATTTTAGTATAGAACTTACGGTTATATCTAGCCATTTCAGCTGGAATATTATGAGACCTGTACACCAATCTAGTACTGCACTTAAATTCATATGGTCTAGATACCAAGGAACAAATGTCATCCTTGTCATAAAATTATTTATAGAAAAGACACAGCAGGCTACGTTACCGTTGTAGGAAATTAACCGAAGTCGAGATACCAGGTCAGACATACATTAGTTTTATTATTTTCATGTTAGAATTCTACTTCTTTCTAAGTGAGTTTGTTACTTAGGAGGCGCCTACGTTACGCCTTGTCAGTGCCTCATAAATAATGCACCATTCCATTTAAATCGCGAGGAAAGACTAAAAAGACAAATCATTTCAGTGAGAGAATGAGAAAAGGAAGATCGATGTAACGGTAACACTCTCATGCGTTTACCGCCTGTTTCAGTATAATCTAAAACCTTTTCAGATTCGGAATATTTTCATTTGTACTCTCTTACTTCTTGAAATAATGGCATGCATTCATACTTATGATGGCTATTTTAATATTCTACTAAAGATTGTTAAGCTGAAATATCTCTTGATGCTAACAGGGCCATTTTTCACGGCTGTTTTTTAGTCGTTGAACTCGGAAATGACGTATGCGATCATTAACTTACGAATTAAGATTCGTAAAAAAAACTGAAACAGGATAACCGAGAAATGTTCACGTGTATTTCTAATTATTATTATTATTATTATTATTATTATTATTATTATTATATTATTATTATTATTATTACTACTACTACTACTACTACTATTATTATTATTATTAGTAGTGGTAGTACAGCAGGTATTTCATGGATACTTTATGCCGTAATTTAAGGGAAATTAGTTGGTAATAAAAATAAAAATGGTCCGGAATTCTGAATGACCCAAGCAATGCTGCTTTCTTAATCTCTCAAATCACAGTCCCAGTTTCTCCACCCCCGGACTTTTTGGACTTTGTCTGTCACAGTTCCAAGGGCCCCTACCATACGAACAACTTTTACTTTCTGAAATATTCACAGACATGCTTCATCATGTTTCAAATCTTCTTATCTTTCTCCTTTTACTTTTTCTTTCTGAAGTATTATTACGTCACCTGTTACTGCTATATCATTGATTCTAAACTACTGTCTGGGTAGTAATGGTGTGAGGCTTTCTCGCTCTTGCTTTATCATATTGCACGTTTCAGTTCCAAAGCAGTTCTTGAAACTCTCATTTATTAATGTCAATCGCTATCTATTGTCCTCCTGATTACTCTCTTCTTTTTCTGCTTATCATTCTTATTTCTGTCTCCAATTTTTCCATAACCTGTAATACCAGATGAATGCCATTTAGGAAAACAAAAACCAAAAACTCATGTTGCGACAATATGCCTGTCTTTGTCAAGTTATGTTTAATAATTGCATGCAAGTATTAAATAATAGAAGTTTTTTTTTACAGACGTCACCTGTCATTGAGAAAACAAACCAAGCCAGTGTGAACTGAATGCAATTAAGACGTGTGTAACATGATGTGGATCGTGTTCATCCTGAAATTTAAAAAAAAAATTCTCCTAAGACGTTTGTAGTTTGCTTATGTAGTTATCTTCATGCGTTTTGCGGGTTGAAATTTTGGTGGATTCTGGATATTTTTTTCAGAATGCCTGTCTTAAGATCTTTCTTTGAAATTGCAGTCGTTTGTGATCAACTGTTTCGCAAGACCTGTTCATATCATATTGTTTTCTCTAATATCATATCTGTAGCCATTAAATCTTTTGTTTAACTTTTCTGCAACCCACATAAATAAAGTCATATTTACCACGTTGGACGACGTATATCAAATGGATATCAGTACAATTGTCACCTTTTTTTTCTGTAATAAGTATGGCGGTTTATCTTCTTCATAAAATCTTTGTTACTTAAAACATCTTCGCAAGCCAAAATATAATCATCCTTATCCATAATAACAATGGCGTCTCCTTTGTCGATCATTTTGATGACAGACGTTTTTATTTTTCCTTGCAATTATTATTACTGTTAATTAAAAACATGTAAAAGAATTGAAAAAGTGGATAGAAAGAAATGAGACGGGAAAGAAAATTAAATACGATATAAATAAAGTGTAGTTGAAAGTGTCGACAAAAGTAGACGTCATGGCTGAATGAACAATGAAAATGTCTGAAATAAAAAAAAATGAGCTACAATACTGGTAGGACAGAAAAATACGAATATATATATATATATATATATATATATATATATATATATATATATATATATAGGGATGGATAAATTTGAGAAAAACATAATCAGAAAGAAGGATCATTTTCAACAGCAACATAGATAACTTATACAAAAATATACAATAGCCTCAACTGGCCTTTTGCTTCTCATGTCAAAAGATACATGGTGTTGTTTCTGTTATTTATAGAATATGCCGTCTCGTCTGTTAAAACAACGTCCACTTGAGTCGCATGAACGGCACTACTGCCGAATCGACTCGCTCGGATCTTATGTCTACGAAAAAAAGCAAATAAAAAAAAAAAGAAAAAAAATCATATGAATGTCAAAGTCAGTGTGGAAAGAATATGGCCGCATCTTTTACTTGTCGTAAGAGATGAATGTTTCACTGTGTGCTTTGCTTGTCTCCTTCCATGGAATTCACCCCGGAATAGCGGGAAGGTAGAAAGTGAATTTCCACGAAGTCAGCTTGTCTGATTCAATTTTGGCGTTTGTTCCTTCCATCTGAAACCTTCACAGTGAGTTGGAAAAAAAGTAAAGAAATATAAGATATCGGTGTTTCAAAGCGGGAACACATATTTGTATAGGTGACACATGCGCATTGTTACACTTCTTTGTACAACCTGAAGAATCGCTTCCCACGCCACCAGACCAGGATAAATGCGTCCTCAAAGAAGCATACGGAGATTCGAATTTAATAGGCATTCAAAATAGCGAAATTCGTTGACTATGAGTAAACGCATGCGCAGACACTCAAAAAAGAATCAACCATTATCGTCGCTTATTATTTGTAATTCCCATGGGAAGCGACACAAAATCTATGTTATATCAGACTTGGCAATACATCTATCTATCTATCTATCTATCTATCTATCTATCTATCTATTTTATATATTTTATATCTATCTACCCCGATCTACTTTTGTCTATCAATCTATCTACCTGTTTCATTCGGTTCATATACATCCCAGTCTGTCCATATCTATCTATCTATCTATCTATCTATCTATCTATCTATCTATCTATCTATCTATCTATATATATATATATATATATTCTTCCTCCGTATCAGACTTGGCAATCTATCTATCTATCTATCTATCTATCTATCTATCTATATATATATATATATATATCACTGGAAGGAAGGCGTTAATGCCACTAAAACACAAAGGCGGGTAGTGGAAGAGAATGAGAAAACTGAAGAGAATGAGAATGAGAAAGGACAATAAAAGAACAGAAATCATGAAGACAGTAGATGCTCATTGGTTTTCCATATAATTTTTTTAAAGATTGTAGGTAGCAGGGAAGTTTTTCAGGTGTGAGAAGTGCGAGAAAAGAAACATCTGGTTACATCTCGCCAGTCCGAAAGCAAAACTATGAGTCCGAGTTGTCAATCCAGTAGTCCGCTTCAATACATAATGTCTAGATACAAAAGAGGAAAGATCATTAAAACAACTGACATGAAAATATTTTCAGAAGAGACAGAGGGAAAACTACATGCCGAGGTGGGAAAGCGAATGAAAATCATGACTGAGAACTGATCCTTTTTTTGAATTTTGTCGAGACTCTAAAGATATATAGCCGAGACACAAGACAAGATATGGCAGCAAGATTCGATGCATGGGCGAAGTGAACCGATCTTCTTCGCAGCAGATCTTGCAATCGATTCAATATCATCGTTCCATTTCATGTCAGTTGGAAACCAAGATGGCGCAATGAGTTGCTCTCCTGGAATGTAACACCAGCCATTCTGATGGAAGGCAAAAATAGTTTCCTATCCTGGTTAAAGGGTTACAGGTTAGATTTGGAGGATTTAAAATTTACAATCCTTTTCTTGCCCCAGTTAACAACTGATTGAAGGCCATTTTGGAGAGCAGCTGCCAGTTTTGGTTTGTAAACGTATTATTAAGACAAGAGTAAATAGTTGTATCATCATAATAAATGCCTTATGAAAACTGAATTGTCGTTGATGAAGATAAGCAACACCGTAGGTCCAAGGATATAGTCTTGGGGGATACCCGCTTTAATGCGAAATGATCTAGAAGCATGGCCGTTCACCTAGGCCTCGCTGTACATCTCTAAAGTCTGAGAGATAAATCCATTAGTGACCATTGACATGCCGGTGGTTGACCTGGAGAACTGAAAGCCATATTCTTTATCTGAAAGAAGGCCGAGTGAAGTTAGATGCTTAACCTGTTGATTAGAGAGAGCCTCAAATATTACTTTGCCAGAAAGATATATGGTTAGGAAGTTTAAATTATTATTTAAAAATGTTTTTTTTGTTTTTTGGTAAGCCAGACGCTTCGTCTGTAGCTAAAAGGTATAGCACGTCAGGCTATATGACAGTTCCGTGTAGGATACAGGTTCGAATGCTAACATATTTTTTATGAAGTTTCTCGGACATTCAGGCTGGTAAATGTTAATATTGTTTATTATAAACAGAACATTTACTTAAATATTTGTATCTTTAAATATAACGTACAAACAGAAAATATATGAAAATAATTGTCGATCTCAGTCCATTTCATTATATATATATATTGATTTTTAATCCGATATTATGTTTATTATATAAATCGGATCGGCATCGCTTTTTCTCGATATACGATTTTCAGTTGCTATCGGAGACATCCTTTTTTTAGTAATATTTCTCAATGTGGGACATTTTTTATTATGCCGTTTACTGAAATAAATTAAAAAAATAAAACATCCATAACAATTCAAATACGTGTAACCATTACAAAGACGTTTATAGTAATAAAAAAATAATGAATAAAATATCCCACACACACACACACACACACACACACACACACACACATACATACATATATATATATATATATATATATATATATATATATATATATATATATATATATATATATATTGCATCGACACAGTCTACAGACCATATATGCTTTACTTTGACGACTATTTATATATGCTTGTCAGTGATGCATTATGACTAGTAAGGTTAATCCCAGAAAAAAACACGGACATGGCAATAATGATAGTCTGACGGTCATTCGGGGGTTAAAGTTTATGTTTCAAATTATTTTATTGGGCAGAAATAATTGTGGGTACGAATGCTGATTTTTAGATTTACGTAAGCTCTATCCTTGATAACCATAAATATAGTTTACCTTAAAATTATAGTTTTTTTTTTATAAAATTATAAATAAAAAAGAAAGTATGACATTCTATACATGTGCACATACATACACGTTCTGGCGTACATATACACAGAGACGCGCGTTCACACACATCAAGAAGACAAAAAAATAACCTAACACTAATGAAAAGCGCATAAATTATTTTATAACTTAATATAATAATAAGTGAAATTGGAAAATTGGTGGAAAATTCCTGATACCTCCTGACGAGTGGACTGAACGATTACAAAAATATTCGTTTACAAAATTCTGGCGTCAAAGTGATGAATATAACACCAATCAATTAAGTGACGAATTTTATATTTGTATTAAACACACACACTTCACATACACACAACGTGTATATATATATATATATATATATATATATATATATATATATATATATATATATATATATCACCAGGTATTGTCGCCGTAGTTTTCTACAGTTTATCAACAGATTGAGATCTAAACTTTAGAAGGGCTATTCAATAAGCGCGGCGTTTTCAAGTCCGAAAAACTTTCTTAGTGCTTCATTAATATATCAGAAGCCATTATCTTACATAAATCCCCGCCCATGAACAGGAGATGCTTTCAAAAAAGCAATATATAATTCTCTTCTACTCTGCATCATATACATCTCACTGTAACCAGTTTTGTGGACAAACTTCAGGCACAGATTTTTCAACTACGACAGAGTAAACTGCGTTGACGTGACCTTATACCTTATGAATTATATTCCTGTTTACATGTCGTTTCTCAAGAACAAAACGTCGAAAACCTGTCACAACTCTATAACTAGTTCCATGCCAATGTTTAAACCATCTACATTCATTCGTTCCACAAATTTAGATCTTTACATGAAAGACCCTTCATGCAAAGTACACTTTCAAATCATCCTCATTCTCTTCAAATTCCATTGGTAAGAAGGAAGTTCCATTAAGACAATTTACTTAAGGGAACAGACTCTCTTTGATCAATGTAAACTTAAACTCTTGAAGTATAGGGTCGAGTGTTATCTATCACATGGTACGTCCATATAAAAACCTCACGCTGTGAACCAGTATCTTTAGTTATTTTTTAACAAAAAAAAAAAAAGAAATCAAACAAAACCAACCCGATCAAAAATACATCAACACCTAGGAATTTAACTGATTTATTCACGTGTTTCTTCATTCGTCTCATGGCCGTCGGTCTTATTGATTCGTCCGAGGCAAAGAAATTAAACTTACTTTCGTCGCTCTTGCCTAAAATTCATCGCATCAAAGAGCTCATTTGCAAAGGTCAGTCTACCTTTTTGTTTTGTTTTTTTAACAATGAGCTGTTTTACACGAGAAGAAGAATGATGCGACGTCGTTTCAACTAAACAAGCCAAGATTGACTACCGATCCATTTTCATGTCAAGATTTTTCGGTAACTTGGCGTGTAATACGTGCTGCTATGTCAAACCTGTTGAGTAGATAGAATATTTGAAGCGCACAATTCTGCAGAATTTTAAGTTTTAAGTTGCCTGCTCGATGTTTTGGTATAAATAGTAATATTACCTACAAGGAAACATTTAATATTTATTGACCGAGCAGTCGTTATTCGTGTTGGTTGAAATGTCTATAAGATTTCACTTAAAACAAATTTTCAAGTAAATAGGTTTCTCAAGTCAAGTGGCCGTTATCACTCTTTCCAGTATTGATTGGTGTTTCCTTCCTAACCCTTTACTTAAAATAGTTTTGATTGTCAACATTTTCATTATGTCATTATTTTCTTTTCGAGTTACATCTGATACCCGTTTTAAATGTTGCTGATATTGGTCGTCCTCAAATGATGTTTCTCTTATTTGGTAGAGTTCTTTGTTTATGATTCTGTAGCGCCAGTCCACAATGTTTGAAGAAGGATGGTCTTTGAGAAGACCATCAGGATTCACCCTTTCAAAGCCATTTTTAACCATTGTTCTTAGAAAGCGGTTGTATAGAAAAGGCCACTTTATCTACACTCGTCTGCAAATATCTTTGTGTTCGGTGACTTCAGTGCCCAACGATGTCAATGGGCTTCATCGCTCTGACTTCGCCGGCATCCAAACATTGAACTTGTCGGTGGCTCAATCGATTCCTCAATTACTACACCTCCATGGACGTTTTGTTAGTATACCTGATGGATACGTTTCTCTACTTAATCTCTTTCTTACCTCCTCCCCGGAATCATATGCACTGTAGCTCTATCTTAAAAAATTGACCCCACGTTAGTGTCTATAGATATCGCTCTCCACTGTTTTATTTAGGAAGAACCCCCTATTAACAGAACACCTTTCTGGTATCAACTACTGATTGGGATTTATTTCGTGATTTCCCTTCCAGATGCAAGGAAAAAAATATTCTGAGTTTTTCTCTCCCTCACTGGAATCTCTTTTTCCGGTAATACCAGAGCGACAGATCTGATTGTAGCAGCGTCTCTTTGTCACCGCTCGTAACGAGTTTAAGCGTGTCCTCATAGAGGCAAAGTCATTATTCGCTAATATTATGAAACACCATATAGCCTCTCACATGTTTGGTTTGGGGAACTACTGGCGAATCTGCAAGAATGTACTAGACAAGAGAAAATCCCCAGTTCCTCCTCTCGTAAATCAGTTATCATCTACTGTAGATGAATCTAAGTTTGTTGTTTTTTTTTTTGCCCGGAAATCCTTTTCCAAAGTGAGTCTAGACTCAACTGGAGTGATATGCAAAATTCCGTGTATAATTTCTGTTATCGTTTCTAAACTTGATCCACGGAAGGCTTGCGGACTGTACGATTTCCATAAAGGAATGTGCACCTAAAATGGCTTTCCAAATTTTACAAAAGAATTCTTCTTGCTTTCCAACTTGTTGGAAGTCCTCCTATGTAGTTCCTAGATTGATCGCCCTATTAGTCTCTTATTTATTTTGACAATGTGTTATAGGCACTAGTCAAAGCTGAAGTGGTTAAGCATCTTCAGAGGACCTCCTCCGGGATAAAAGATA